AAATCTAATTCTATATAAGAGGTTCTGAAATTACTACAATCCTATTCAGTCTTCACTTCCTGGATGGAAATTTGTTCCAGGTCAGAACATAATTCAATAAGATAACGTTTATAAGCACCCACTTATTTCTTTCCTTCTCACTGCAAGAATCTATTTAACTCTTATTTTTTATTGCTTATTAATCTCTTGACCTTTTTGAGCATGAAATATTGATTGCATTGTTGCAAGGAAAATCAACATGGTAGTAGCATTTTTCTCTCTTCTAACGATAAAGCACTGAACACTTAGGCTGCAAATGGATTTAGTCCCCAGTCTAGGAGTAAGAAGGCACAGATAATTTTAGCACTGTGTAATGGGAGAGTAAAATTTTGCCTTTGAAGTGAGTTAAGAAAAGATCATCAAGGTCCTACAATGGTGATTTTCAAAGCTTGAATAGAGATATTCAGATTAGATATTATGATCTCAGCGGTTAACTCCAGTGCAATGTGGGCACATTGAATAATAAATGTCCTAAGCTGCTAAAGAACTATGAATGAAATACATCTCTTGGGAGCTGAAACTTAGGCAGCACCAATAAAGGACAATAGCTGTAACTCAGGGTTGAAAAGAGAGGTCTTTCATAGGGTGACCAGNGCCTCCAATGCAGAGCCCTCATCCGAGCCTTCCCCAGACTCCAGGATTGCCCCATATTCCTCCCCAACTTCCTCACTGTTTGAATCTGCTACCAGCTCCTCTGGTTTTAGGATCACAGAAGTTCTAATGCCAAACTTTTTTTCTCAGCTGGAGTACATCCAGGTATGTGGACTTCAACTTCTAGAATCCTCAGCAATGTGAATGCTAGTGGAGGAATTCTGGGAATATTTAAAGTGACACATTTGGAAGTTACAAGCTTTTCTCTGCTGGCACCTAATGATTATCCAAATTTTACAGATCTGGTAGTCTTGGGAGACACTGTTGTAAAAAGAAACCTCAAAATTTAAACAGTATAACTGTGAGTATAACGACATATTATGCATTATCTTTCAATTTAAGCAGATATGCCAGATTTTGCTAGAAAAAAATATCAGATCATTAGATAGAAGCAATAACCAATGTTTTCCATTTTTAATTCACATCTGAGGACATTAAGATTGCCCTAATTTAATTAGAGATGGTATTGACATTTTTGCTATATTTCATTTGTCGGAGGGGGGAGAGGGAGGGAGGGAGAGAGACTAACTAGCCCTATTTTTTATGCCTAAGAAGGACTAGCCCTCACAGTTCCCAATTTTTAACCCAAACACTACATTAAAACCAGCTTTAAAAATGCGTTGACCTATTATCTCTTTGGTTGTAAGTTTTTTTAAGCACCACTTCTTAATCAAATTTAATATATTTTTAGTGCTAACATGCAGCAGCTAATGCAACACCCATAAAACAAAATCAGGATCTAAGAAAGTAGTTAAACAAATAAATAGAAAATAGCTGCTAAGATCTTAAAATGAAAACACCTGAAAATGCCTTTAAGTCTACTCATAGACGTTGCAAACAGATTCTATAGGCTTTGTAAAACTATGATCTGAAATAAATGTGAAATATATTCTGTACAGGAATATATTAATCCTAATATAACTTTGCATAATTTGAAATTAAAACTTCTGTGTTTTTAACGAAACGTCCCCATATGCCTGTAATAGTGGGAAGCTCTGTTTACTGAATGTCTGACTAGTGGTTAATTTAATGAAAGTAAATAATTTCTCCAGAGAAACTTTTAAGAGAGGTTGATACTGTACAAAGTTAGTACCCACTTCTCCTAAAAGAATGAAATATTCTGAGAAATATTTGAAAAGGCAGAATATTCTATTTCCCTAAAGGAGAAATATATTTCTAAAGACAGAAATTCAGAGCCCCAGCTCCCGGCCCCCAAGCAGATACAGAGCTAGGACAGCTTTTAGAAATACAGATTTGGTAATCCATTACTCCCTGCAGCAAGGTCTGAACAAAGGTAGGATTAGCCCTCAGCCGCAATTGGATTTGCCCAATAAGCCCCTTCATTGTATCAGCACACTTCAACCAAACTTGGCTTCAAGACAAGCCCACATGGCCCCATGAGAGTCTGATGACAGCCAATAGAAAATATGTTCTTACACAGGAACAGGAAGCTCAAGGGCAAGACCCAAGAGAAGATATAAATACCCCTCACTCTCAATTTCATGTGGTCAGCTACCCAGAATCACACATGCTTGGTGGTTCTGCTACATCAATAAATAGACCCTTTTTCCAATCAGCCTTCATTTTGTCTCCAGTGTCTTTTTCCCAGCTGGGAACTAAACCAGATGCTGATTTCTTCCAACAATTTGGCACCCCAGATGGGACTCCAAGCTAACCTGACCAATGGACCTGGTCCGGGTAAGCCTCCCTTGCCAGCAGCAGACCCATTGTTTCTGTGGGTGAGTTTTCCCAGACCTTGGCCATATGGAACAAAGGTAGTAAAGGGTATTGAGTTTTGATCTCAAAGCCTGCTTGGAAAGAAGATGAGTACCTCTAAATTTTAACTTTCCTATGCTAACTTCTGCCTACCAATTCTATTTTAAAAGCAAGCCACACATACTTCTGGGAGAAGGATTAGAACCACAGCTATATGCAGCCAAGGTTATTTCTTGGCATTCTGGTGTTCATCAGCATTTTTTGCAGCTTGGAGATGGCATCCATACTAAGATCTCATATTTAAAACATTCATTTCTTTGTATGATATTTCATCTTACCATTGACTGACCAGCCCGGGGAAGCTAATGTCATTTCTTTAAAATGCAGAAAGAGGGATGATAATGATTTAAAGAGATCTACCTTGAAAGTTCATCTAAGGTAAGAGGGAAAAGAATCTATGAATATTTTAGTATTGATCCTCAAAATTATTCAAGTATCTATTTCACAGCCTAAATCCACAAGAAAATGGTGACTTGTAACCTTCTCTGAACCTTGGTCATAGATGGCAATCATAAGATCATGGGGTGGTACAATTAATCATAAGTGTGAGCTGCCTGCCAAGTGCCCAGGTCATAATCACATGATACAAATTTGTTGTATCTGTATATGTATTTGAACCTATTTTTGACTTTTTTTTAATAAGTCCACCAAACATAATAAAATGACAATTACTTCCATGCCATTTCCTTGCTGTTGCTTTCTTCCAGAATGCTTTTCAATTTATTGGGAGCAAATGTGGCTGTTATATAGCAGGAAAAAAAAAAGGTTAACAGGGCAGAGATTGAAGTTACATTGTAAAACTGATGAAGTAGTAAAGGCATCTCTTTTTTTTAAAAAAAAAAAACTTCTTATTTTGTTTATGCAAACTTCACATCTTTGCAACACATTACACTTCTTTTACATATCTGTTGTGATTCTTTTATCTGTACATATAAGCCTTGTATAACTATACTTTATATATATGTGCATTTATATTATTTCATACATCTTTTTTCTTCATTCTATATATTCTATGTATATGAATCATTTTGCATCCATTTCCTATTATTTATTTGCTACAGTCTATTCTGTATTTCTATCTTTTAATCATTTTCCGGTTTTGTAGTAGTTGTTTTTAATTTGTTGATCTTTCTTTCTTCCTTTTTTGCTTTCCTGTTTCCCCCCCCCCCCCCTTTCCTCTAGCCAATTATACCATAAATCC